CTCCTTCCATCCTAGGAGATGAATTAGTTTTCCCTGTAGTGACAGAAGAAGCCTTAGCAAACCCTCCTCTCGCCACTCGTGCACCTTTCATCTCCCTCCTCCCTACCTTCCGTCCCCTTCTCACCATTATTGAGGGCACCAAAGATTCTCTGTCCATGATCCCTGAGGTGGGGTTACCTTGCCTGTCGGAGCAGGACCACGATGATTGTGATGCTGGCTTGATGATATCTGGTTATGGCTCAGGGGAGGCACATGACTCTAATCTACCCCCTACTGATGATGAAGATTTTCACACCACCTTGTCCTTGGTAACAGATAAGACCTTGTCCACATCGGCCTTTGAAGGTGGCTACAAAGCGCACGCACCCAAGTGGGATTACAAGGACTTTAGACCTAACAAAGCGTCTGAATCCGGTAGGATTGCTACCACTGCCTCTGTCCCTGAGCTGCTCAGTTCCGTGCCGCCCGGGAAATTGCCCAAGCTGCCCGCGGGCAAGTTGAACACGCGTGAGCAGAAACCCTACCCGGGCTCGGTGTTGGTCCCCTTACCCACCGCGTACGAGGTAGACAGTACCAAGCTGAAGAGTCCCCCCCTAGTCACCTCACCCATGTTCCGTAATGTACCCACAGCCAACCCCACGGATCCGGGAGTGCGCCGGGGTCCTGGGGCCTCGGAGGTGGTGCGGGAATCGAGCAGCACGACCGGGATGGTCGTGGGGATAGTGGCGGCGGCAGCTCTCTGCATCCTGATCCTCCTCTATGCCATGTACAAGTACCGCAACAGGGACGAAGGCTCCTACCGGGTGGACGAGACTCGCAATTATATCAGTAACTCCGCGCAGACCAACGGTACTGTTGTCAAGGAGAAACAACTGAGTGCGAAAGGCAGCAGTAAGAAGCACAAAAACAAGGACAAAGAATACTATGTGTAGAGCGGACAAAAGAAAACATTTAACACAAGAGGGGGAAGGGAGAATTGAACAACAACATGAAACTAAAAGGAGACACAATCAGAAATATATATTATACAGAAATATATATATATATGTGAATTCTGACAGCGAACATCTGCCACTCGACTTAGATTTTACACACACAATAAATGAAAAGAGAAACTCTTTTGGGGAAATGAAAATACAAACTCCATATACAGCTTGGAAATGCACTGTGGCAAAAAAAAATAAGACAATGAACTTGCAGAGTGATGATGTACCTGCTTTAAGACAATAAACACACACACACACACACACACACACAGAGCTGTCACAGAGACCAGAGTGTTGTATTCTGGTGAATGAATCTCCAATCGGAGACTAGATCCACGGCCTCCTCGGTTTTTAATCCTGGATGCGACTGTTAAGACTTTGTGACATTTCGCATTTTCTCGAGATTCTTCTTTTGATTTGGTTGTAAAAGCTGTGTACTGAATTTTGTCTTTTTATTTGAAAAAAAAATAACATTTTCTTGCTCTTTGCCGTGTGGAGCATGTAATTGCGACCTATGTGTAGATAGTGACCAGCTAATAATGTGTGGACCTTGGGAGAGAGGGAGGGTTATGTGTGGGGTGGGTGGGGAAGGAGGGGAAATATGGGGATTGGTGGCGGTATGTGTGTGTGCGTGTATGCGTGTATGTCTACAGTCAGAGTCTGTCTCCTTCCCCACCCCCTACTGCCTCCTCCTCCCCTTGGAAAACGGGACTTTTGGCCGTTCAACTTTGTATCGTTTCTACATCTCAAATCGTGGTGTCCTCCTTATGATTTGCTGTCCGCGATAAAAAGTTGTATTTAGGTGTATGAACATTGAACAAGCAAAAGACGAATGAAGAACAGAGACAAAAGTGGGAGATACACACAGATCGGACAGGTCTGTGCCAATCTTCAACTGAGGTGACCACCTTGCTGTTTAAGAGCTGTTAATTGTACAACATATTACTCTTAGACTGTGGTAGTTAGAAAACAGCTAACTAAAAACTATAGCTGTGGTTCTGAGTTTCAGTAAATGACTGTGGTGCATGCACATTCAAAAGAAAAATAAAATTAACCACATCATATACGGTATGGTGTTCAATTTTGATGAGAAAGAAATATATTCGCTGGCCAAACTTAACACGATGAATTTTAATTTTATCGATTTAATTTAGTTCATGTGTGCTTTATCTGCCTCTCTCTCTCCTTTTCTCTGTCGTCACCTTTACTGGATTTCAAGGGGAAAAGCTGTTTAAGGTCACTCAAGCATTCACCATAATTATATATAAATATCTATTTAAAAAATACAAAGCTGAAAGGTATGCATTTTCAAATCGTTCAAATCATCACAACTGTGTCAAGGAATAAAAACACAATTTGTTTACATAATGTTATGTTATTATATAGCCTGTGTACTTTGTAGTTAGAACTATTGTACATACATTTTCAGTTGTTTAATCTTTTTGGGTATTTGTATCGTTCCAAACTCTTGCAAAGTTTTTTTTTGCAATATCTTTCCCGTGCAGACGTGAGGGTGAAGCTGGTTTAGATGAGAAATCTGGCATAAAGGTGTATTTTTTTTTATTTTGTAAAGAAGCTGACACAGTTGTTATCATTTAGGTTTAGAATTTCTGCTCTGTCGCACTCTTTCCCCCCTTCTCCCTCTCGCTAGTGTTTGTAAGCCGCATGAACATTTTCTCTTTAAAAACAGTGGTCATCATTAAATACATGGTTGTCATTTTCGATCCACCTGGGGTTCCTTTTGCGATACATTGTCTTTTGAGCGCGACTCTAACACCAAGTGCGGGTGAGCTCTGTAGGTATCCAAATACTTGTTGGTCAACTTAATAAATATACAAAAGAAACACAGAAATATTTATACCTCAATGTCTATTGCTAACGATTGTGCTGTGGATTTGCTTCTTGGTATTTTTAATTTTTTTTACTGTGAACACCTGGACTTGAAAAATCTGTATGTGGGCTTTATATCATATTTTATATTATTTTTGTTCCACATCAATGTGAAAATTTTGATTGTTTTTTTTGAGTTAATGTGATGTTTCTTCATACATCTCTCCATCTTTGCTTTTGTTGTATTTCTGTTGTATAAACAATATGCTTAGCAATAAAATGTTCTTCCCAAAGCTGATGAATGTTGATCTACCTTTTCATCTGGTGTCAGAAGCTGTTTTTCAACATTCAGAACCTATTCTGTCAAAACATGACCAAACATTCTTCATTCTCATCCTCCCCGCCAATCATTGGTGACCTCTACACTAGCAACACAAGCTGGACATCAATGGATACTTAGCTACTAAAATGTTGGCCATAAGTGGTAGATGACAGCGACTGGAGACAGAGCCAAAGAGTCATACAGCACAGAAACAGACTCTTCTGTCCAACCAGTCCATGCCGACCAAGTTTCTGAAACTAAATTTGTCCCACCTGCCTTAAATCCCTCCAAATACTTCCTGTTCATGAACATATTTAAATGTCTTTTAAATGTTGTAACTTTACCCGTATCCGCACTTCCTCAGGAAGTTCATTCCACATATGAACTACTCCCTGTGTAAAAACATTGCCCCTCATGTCCTTTTTTAAATCTTTCTCCTCTCGAGTTAAAAATATGCCACCTCTTTTTCAACCCCCCCAGCCCAGGGAAAAGACCCTTGTCATTCATCTTATCTATGCCCCTCGTAATTTTACAAATCTCAATAAGGTCACCCCTCAACCTCCATGCTGCAGTGAAAAAAGTCTCAGTCTTCCCAGCCTAGTTTTATATCTCATCATCATCATCATAGATTCCCTACAGTCTGGAAACAGGCCCTTCGGCCCAACAAGTCCACGTTGATCTTCAGAGCATCCCACCCAGACCCATTCCCTTATGACCCACATTAACCTACATGTCCCTGAACACTATGGGCAATTTAGCATGGCCAATACACCTACCCTGCACATCTTTGGACTGTGGGAGGAAACCCACACAGACACGGGGAGAATGTGCAAACTCCACACAGACAGTGACCCAAGGTTGGAATCAAACTCGAGCCCCTGGTGCTGTGAGGCAGCAGTGCTAACCACTGAGGCAATCTCAAACCCTCCATACCTGGTACTATCCTGGTAAGCCTTTTCCAAACCCTCTCCAGTTTAATAATATCCTTCCTATAGCAGGGCTCCCAGAACTAGAGGCTCAGATACTGGAAAGATCACACAGTGTTGCTAGTCTGGACAAGCTGAAGCGGGTTTCATACTATCTGCTCTTTTAATACGAGGTGCTAACCCCAATTGAAAGAAATGAGAGGCAGAGGAATCGACTACAAAATAAAACATTAAATGTTATTAATCAGTTTGCCAAAAGAAGAGTTACCTTTTGTGAGCATAAGATGTCCCAGCGTACTTCATGGTTACAATGTAGGAAATGCAGCAACCAATCTGCACACAGCAATCTTCCCTAAACACCCAAGTGATAATGACTGGATAATCTGCTTCTAAGGATCTAAAAAAATAGAAAATATTGAAGAAACTCATTAGGTCTGGCAGCATCTGTAGAGAGAGAAACAGAGTTAACATTTTGGGTCCAGTATTTTTTGAATACTTTAATAACTCAGGAAGCCTGACTGGAAAGGAACACCATTTATTGTTGAACACCAAAATAGGAAGACTACTCGCAGTGTACATAGGCTAGATCCAGCCTGGAAGAGACAGACCCATGCCTGATTCTGGTCTTCTTTTTATCCAGAAGTGCTCTTATACACAGCTTAATGTTTTTTTTCCTGATCACCAAATCTCCATGGTTTTTCTTTCTGCTATTAACCACCACCAGTGCTGTTCCATGTTTCCGAATGGATAATTTATGTGCAATGCCTATTACGCGGAATATAAACCATCGAAGGTGAGGGAACTGCATCTGCTTTGTACAATTTGCTAATCAACCTGTTCAGAGATATTATTACACATCACTGGAGCAGGTGGGACTCCTTGTCCAGAGCTATGGACATTGCCACTGTGCGACAAGGACCCTCGAGGCCTGCTTTGTCTTTTCTTTTTTATATTCGTAAGTGCTCTTACACACAACTTTTTTCCATCACCAAATCACCGTGACTTTTTTTTGTCGCTTTTAATTATTAACCACTACCAGAAAAACGCCTGCACAACCAATTAGATCTTTAATTTCAAAGCCTGTTTCAAGCAATGCAAACTGTCTAAGTTGAGGGAGGAATAGGGAGGACAGGGAGGGGCTAAATCAAAATGGAGTTGGAAGGGGCTGGATCTGCTGTATTTTCTACATCTGGAAGTACTCTTACACACAACCAAATGGCTTCCAACGCCAAATCACCGCGGCTTTTTCTTCTATTTTAACTATTAACCGTCACCAGTAAAATACCCATGTCGCCATTTGAAATCTGCTTTAACATATATATCTCTTTTTCCAAAAACAAACCTGTTCAGGGATGTTATGACGCACCACTGAAGCAGGTAGGACTTGAACCCCGGCCTCCTGAATACAAGGTAGGGACATTGCCACTGCACCACAAGAACTCTTAAATGCCTGATTTTTCCTTTTGTTATATTCAGAAACGTTGTCACACACAACTGAATGACTTTCCCACCACCAAATCACCATGGCTTTGTTTTTTAAACCATGAACTGCCACCAAGAAAACACCCGTGTAACCAATTAAATATAGGCCACGCGAACCATCGAAAGTGAGCGGGAGGTAGGGAGAGCGGGAAGGAGCTAAATTAAAATGGAGCTGGAGGGGGAAATAAAGCACTGTTTTCCACACAGTACTCATGTCTCTCTGTAAAGGCATTGAGAGCACAGATGGACACCATGTGCTCCATCTCCAAGGACATCTGAGTAACCACAGAAGAGGGACATACCATTGACAGAAATGAGCCCATCAATATAGACTTAGAGGGGATCTGCTTCACAAAGAGCTCAGGTGATGACTTCCAGCCAGTTGGATCATTGCCTGTTACCAAGGGAAATCCTCCTCAATGCACCCCTCAGGAATGGAATGATTCTGCATGGACTTTGGAGGGTTTATCACAAGCACTTTCGGTCTTTCATTGTAAAATGTATCAGGCTTGGTAATCAAAGACTGTTCAGTGAGCAGCAAAAATAACCTGGCAGCATCTGTGAGGAGAGACACAGAGTTAGCATTTGAGCCCATGCATCAAAACTTGAGTTCTGAACAGTTCTGAAGGAGGGTCACAGGACCCAAAACATTAACTCTGTTTCTCTCCCTGGAGATGCCACCAGATCTGCCCAGTTTCTCCGGCACTTTGTATGACTGTTTCAGATTTCCAGGTTCTGCATTATTTTGCTTTGATCTGGGTTTTAACAATGTTGGTAGAGGGACCAATAGGAAACCAGGAAACCCAGGGTAAACTCTAGTCTTCTTTGAAGTCAGGCACCAGCTGAGAGGAATGTTTACACTATTTAACTGGAGGACACCTAGCACTGGGAACTATAACACCATATGGCCATGAGATATGGGGCAGAATTAGGCCATTCAGCCCATCGAGTTTGCTCCACCATTCAACCATGACTGAACCCCA